CATACATACACCCACCAAAATGACTCCCGTGCATTCAGGTGATATTTTTCAGTAATGATTAGACAAATCTGAATTGTGATAGAGATTTCAAGCATGTCCCGGAGACTGCCTATAAAGTGCCCTAAGTCAAGGACGCTTCCCCTCACCTTCCTGCAGTGTCCGTCTCTGGGAGTAGGAGAGCCTTCTCTGAAGGGGGCTCTGTCCTATCAAGGAACCTAAGTTTTCAAGACATCTTTGTTAGAACTTGCTTGGAAGAGAAGCCTGTGTTGCCACCTTGGAAATAAAGTTTCTCTGTCCTTTTAGCTGGGGATGGGGCGGGAGGGTGGGGTGTGCTGTGAGAGGGGGTTTGCTGGCAGTTGAGTCCCTCCAGTGTTTTCTCAAGCTGAGACTGAGCACCATTCATCTTGCTGCCCGTGTGTGGCTCCGTCACCCTCAGACGGGCCAGCCCAGCGGCCTGAAGTCTGCATTTAGAACTTGATCCCCTAATATAACGATTAAATTTTAGTAAGTGAAATAAAAATGCTGTGGGGGAAAAAAAAAAGACAGAAAGAGTTGAACAATTCTTGTTTTATTTAACTACAAAAAGTTTTTGACAGCACCCCCTTCCCTGCAGGATATGAGAACTCTCGGTCCGCTGCAACCCTTCCCTGGAGACCTGAAGGCAGAATTAATTTGGGGGTGGAGTGGATTCTAATGTAAACAGCAACCTTGAGTTGGTTACCCCCTTCTTTCTCCTGTCTCCCCTTCTCTTTTGCCACCCTGCCCCCAGCCCCACCTCTCCAGACAGGCAAACGTAGAACACTGAACAACTTCAGGTCCAGGCAGGGGAAGAATAAAGGTGCTTTGTGAAGGGAAAGGAAACATTCCTGGGGGAGGTGAGGGGCTCCGCATGAATGTGCCCTCAGTCTGGGTGGGTGCTGTACACCCAGAAGGGAGGAGGGGTGGAGGCTGTCGAGGGGGAGGGGGAGGGCCCAGCCCCAGCCAGGAAGCACTGGGCGTGGGCAGGCTTGTGGGAATGATTTCATTGGAAAGGCCTGCGATATTTTTTCCCCTCCTGCGTGTGGTTCTTGGAGAAAGTTGGAGGGGGTGGTGATTTCAGTCGTCTTGGCCGCCGCGAGCAGAGGCGCTGGGCCCAGCCTGCTGGGAGCCTGCACCCAGCCCTCCTGCCATGCCAGGCTGGCTGGCTGGGCCAGGCTGGCTGCCTGTCCTAGCCGCCCTGGCCTGCCTTCCTCAGTGCACCTTTTCCTCCCCCTAGCTCTGCCCTTTCCAGAACTTACTTGGGCCATCCCTGTGCAGGGTTGTTTTTGGTTTTTCTTTTCTTCTACTTTTTTTTTCTTTTTTTTAAAGACTTTTGAGAGAAGCAGCTGCCACCTAAGGTCCCACAGCATCCTCTACAACGTGCTAAAATGCTAAAGACTCCTTGGCGTTTTCATTTTCATCAGGTGACCTCTTTCTAATTGGTGGCTTTTTTTAACCTTTGTGTTCTGCTATGTTTCTTGTGTTTAGTCTTCGAGTACTTCGACTGACCATGACCCCCTGGGCCCCCTCCCTCCTGGCTGGGGTAAGTACTGAGTTCTACTTCTGCACCCTCGCCTCTCAGCAGCCATGGCACTCTATTATCTCTTGCGCGTCTTCCTTCCTCATTCCTGTCCCTTGGTTTTCCATTTCGCTTCTCTCCAGTGCTCTCTGGGGGTACCCAACCAGAGCAGCTATACTCGATGAAGCCGGAGCTGGAAGGTTGGGAAAGTAATTGAGCTCCCCTGCTCCACTGTCGCGTTCATGAGCCATAGCTATAGGAGGGCGACCCAAAGAAAGCTGTCACTAAGAGCTGTGGGACTCTTGGGTTTGGTCCTGAGATTCAAGGTGTCTACTCAAGAATTCATCCTCCCTGAGATACTTTGATACCGTCTGATTCTCAGATGGATGTGTTTCAGGTGTGTGACTATCTGGTTGGAAAGAGCCCTAACAAACCTTTCTTTGCAGCTGGGACAGTGGCGGATTTTGGCCCAATTTCTACTAGGAGGAGCCCCCTTTTTGTTTGCAACACAGCTGTGAGAGAGGCCAGAGGGAAGCAGAGAGATTGAGGAGGGTGGTGGCTCCGTGAAAGTACAGCATTATAGTTTATAATGCTGTGCTGGGTTCTCCTTGTCATCAGTAACTGCTTCGTAACTATTCCAAGTCCTGGTGTGACCTGCCAGTAATGAGTTAAGGGCCAGACATCCATGATTTGGGGGACATTAAGCTTTCTGGCTGTTCTGGCTTTTGAGGGGCTATGCAAAGAAAAGTCACTAGAGATGGCGAGACCCAGCATATTCGATAGCTCTCCAAGCTGAGACAGAGTTTTATTAGGTCCTGCAGGAGTCCCAGGGAGCTGAAGAAGGCAGTTTTCATGGGAACCAGTTGGGTTTCAGTCACTGGTTGGGCCAGCGTAATGCAGTGACTGCGGGTTTGGTGCGCTAACAGACGCTATTAAACGGGGAGTGCGTGAGCTCTCTGACAAAGGGACGCACATTCTGAGAACTGACAGCTATAGGACGGACATCCACCTGGAAAAGCACAGCTTTGGGGTTGGGTCCTCTCAGTGCAGACACAACTACTCCCTTGGACCTGTAGGGTGTCACCTAGCCTGTTATCACTGCATTCCAGAGTGCTGGGAGACCTTCTAGTCCTCCTAGCGGGAGATAGTGGTTAGGGAGTCCTCCACGCAGTTCTTGATTTCCAGCTAGGGAGTCCCTTATGAACACAGATGACCTTCCCGGCTCCCTGGACCAGTGATGGATCATTGGAATCTCAGAGATTGACAGCAAGTCAAACACAAGAGGGTAAAACCCTTAGGACCCTACCTAGGGAGCAGACAAGAAAACCACACCAGATTAAACAATGTGCAATGCTTTGGCAGCTGGGAACCTAGAGTTTGTTTGTGGTGCTGTAGAGGGAGGCAGTGTAGCCAGTCACAGGAGTTTATTTCTGGATCAGTTCTGCTAGGTGATGGTTACCTGGTAAGACCAGTTATGGAGACTTGAAAACAGCTCCAAGATACAAAGTGGGAAAATCTTTGAGACGGAAGTAGAAGAGCCATGGTCAGACTGAGCCATTACTGATTATGAACAATCAGGAAAAAAAAAGTACGAAACTGTAATAATGGTCCTGGGCACCGTCCTAATCACAGATCCTCTGGGCTCTGTGTGGGCCTCCCCCTCTAGGCAGGGGCCGCTTCCCCAGGGCTCCTTAACAATGCACAGAAAGAGCAGCCACGCTGGAGGAGAACTGCACTGAGCTCCAGCCTGCTGTAGGCCTGCTGGTGTCGCTCTTGCCCTCAGGTCCCTTTCTGCTGCTCTGGGAGAGACCCCTGTTTCCCCTTGCACTTCTTGGGAATCAGGACACCTTGGGTTTTGATTTGCATCTGCTTCTCAGCTGCCCTGGCCCTGGAAATGCGATGAATATTCCCAAGTCTGTTTGCTCCTAAAATAGGTTGAGCTAAGTGCTCATTTGGGGACTTTTCCAGCCCCCAGACTACAGAGCTGTGCTTCGAGGCAGTTCAGTGGGTCACGAGAGGCCTCCCTGCACATACAACGGCAGCTAGAGATGACAGCACAGGTCTCAGACCCGCTGGACGGGTCCCTGACCCTGCGGTTAGCCTTGGCTTTGGCCCTTGGCAAAGCAGACATGGAAGACCTAATTCCAAGCAGTAGCTGCTGGGCTGGAAGCAGCTCTCCCCCAGAAGCCTCTTGGGAAGCCTTCCTTCTGTGAGTCGGTCACACAAGTCGTTCTAAGGAGGTGGTAGCTCTGTTAACAGTTCTGGGCACCTCCCTTTTTTTCTTTCCTTTTGTTATTATTTTTATTTTACTTTATCTGTTTTCTAGCTTTAGTGAAGTTTGTTTGTACAATTTCAGTCGAGTAACATAACATACAGCTGGTCAAAGCAGTCGGAGAGCGACCAAGACCTGGGGTTGACACTGCGAGTGTTACAGCCTAATTCTTGAGGGCGGGGTGCTGGTTGCCCCAGATCTCCTTTTTCAGCTTTTGGGTTCCCTGTAGTTTCTAGAACTGATCAACCTTATTTCTTTAATTTTTGTCCTGTCATTATGAAAGAGAGAGCCGTTTGCATCATTTGTCTTTAGGACCACAATAGATTTGAAGGCACAGAGACATCCTAGGAAAGGTGGCCTCTGGGGTTTGGAGCCTTGCCCCTGGTGTTTTCTCCTGGAGCTCATGAGTCAGCCCTCCCAATCCCTCTCAAGGTTTGGGTTAGCACTGGGACTGCCCCAGAAGGCCACACTGCCTCCCTAGTGTGTCAGTAAAAAGCAAAACTGCCCCCAAGAGAAAGTACATCCAGCCCCTCCTGCCCGAGTCCCCCAACGCGTCCTTGTCTCAAAGCACACTCTTAGGTGTAAGAACAAGATGGCCGTGGTCAGTGCCTGTAGCTCCAGGCACAATGTATTTGCTCATAAGCAATATCGAGGCTTTGCCTGGATGTGAGTTTGAGAACAAAACTGCCTGAAAGCAGGAGAGAGAGCATATGGAGGGTCTGGGGCCCATGCTGCCAAGTGCTGATCAGAGAGGCAGAAGGGAAAATGCGGTCACCCAGAAGGATCCTGCCTGTGAGACAGAGGCCTGGGTCACCTGCATCCCTTGCGTGGAACCGTGACAGGACAGAGGATCAGTCCCCAGTGCAGCACTGGGGTGAGGGTGGGAGGGTCTGGGTGGGGCTGAGGGGAGGTTGGCGGCTCCTCTGCACCGCACAGCTGGATGCAATTACACCTCTGGTCAGCCTCTGCTGCCTTCCTTCCATGGTGCCGCTCCCTCCCCCAAATAGCCACATAAATGCTCGGTCTCGTTTGGAAATGTGTGTATGCCTTCCCCACCCCCCAGCTGCTAGCAGGTTGGCACTGGGGCAGAAGTACAGACCCTGCACTCAGGAGGTGGGAGCTGCAGGAAAAGGACACTGACTCAAGATGTTTAAATCTGATTGTTCTCTCTGGGTTCTTCTCCCATGGCAGAGAAGAGACAGGACAATGGACGGGTGTATTACGTGAACCATAACACGCGCACCACCCAATGGGAGGACCCTCGGACCCAGGGGTAAGGACTTGGACTGAGGTGGTGGGCTGGGCCGCTGTGCAGTTCCACCATTGGCCGAGTGGCCTAGAACTGCTTTTGTCCTACAGGGTCAACATCAGGGGACCTTTTGCCACATTCAGCATCCCAAAACTCCCACCATGTAGTGTGGGCCTAAGGAAAGCTTAAAAACAGTTCTTTAACTAGCCCGTCCTGGTGGGTAGGGAGTGGCCCACCTGGCAGGGGTTACTCATCTCTGTATTGATTGTGCAGGCCGCTGAGGATGTGACTACAAAAAAGTTGTAGGCACCCCTCTCCCCCACCACAACATTCCACAAGAAACAGGGTTTGGGCAGTGGGTGTCTCAGGACAGCTGACGGCCATTCAGGCCAATGCCGTCTACCCAGGGCAAGTCTTATGGCCTTGGGATAGTAAATGACCCCTCTGTGCTGCGGAACTTGTGACATGTCATGCCAGGTGTACATTCTTAAGGCCACCTCACAGGCCTTGCAGGGGAGAGCAGATACAGCACCTGAAGACCCCAGCCTCCTAAGCATTGAGGCTGAGGAGGTCGCCCAGCCCTTACTGCGTCTTCCTTGTTTCCAGGATGATCCAGGAACCAGCTCTACCCCCCGGATGGGAGATGAAATATACCAGCGAGGGGGTGCGATACTTTGTGGACCACAACACCCGCACCACCACCTTTAAGGATCCTCGCCCAGGGTTTGAGTCGGGGTAAGCTCTTGCCATAGCAGCAGCAAGGTCTGTGAGTCCAGGCCGCTTGTCCTCCTGCTGGCTCAGAGGGTCGGCCGTGGGAGGGCACCTGTGGATGTGTTCCTGCTCTTACAGCCCTCTAGTGGCCAGTGTTGGTGTGATGTTAAAAGGGTTGGAGAGGAAGGGACTTACTATTTATTCCAGCTAACACCAGTGGTATTTCTCTAAAAGCAAGAGGTCTGGCTCTATTTCTGCTTTTCATTTTTGCTCTTCAAAGATCTTCAGAGCAGGCACTGCCTTTTCTTTATGCACCCCTTTGCTCATCTTTAAATGAACGTAGCATCAGCTTTCTGTAGTGCTAACAAAGACAAACTGTTCATTTTTTTGAGATATCACACACGTTCCAGAACATCTTTCTCTTTCCAGGACAAAGCAAGGTTCCCCTGGTGCCTACGACCGCAGTTTTAGGTGGAAATATCACCAGTTCCGTTTCCTCTGCCACGTGAGTTCTAGTACTGGGACCGTGTGGCCACAGGGGATGTTGAGTAGCTCAGCCCGGCTTCCCAGCGCTGGCATTAGGTGTCGGAGTGTCTGTGTCTTAGGTGGGAGCAAGATGCCACCTGGCCCTGAGCGGGTTTTCTCTCGGAAACCCGTTTCCATCTTTAGGGAACCAAGCTCTCCTCCTGCTGGCCCAGGAGTCCTGGGGGATGGCTGCTCACACAGACGGGAGGCCAGATCGAACAGTTACTGCTTGAGGACCCTATTGAGGATTTTTCTTTTCTTTGCAGTCAAATGCCCTACCCAGCCACGTGAAGATCAGCGTTTCCAGGCAGACACTTTTTGAGGATTCTTTCCAACAGGTTAGAAAATAACCATGGCGCCCAAGGCTAGGGGCAGACATAGCCCCCACCCTCTCACCCCCGCCCCATCTTCTCCCACGAGGTCTCTTAGGCCCACACTGTACGGTGCTTAAGGCATGGGCTTAGTGACCATGTCTGTGGGAGGGTGGGCTATAGAGTCCTCTGCCCTGCACCTTCCCTAGCATGGAGGGGAGGGTGGCAGGCTGGCCACGATGTCCTGTCTCCCCAGATCATGAACATGAAACCCTATGACCTGCGCCGCCGGCTCTATATCATTATGCGCGGTGAGGAGGGCCTGGACTACGGAGGCATTGCCAGGTGAGCTTGGGCACCCCTAGAGGGCTGCACAGTCCCCCACTTTCCCAGGCTATAGGGCCCATGACCAGAAAACTACTGCCTCCTTGCTTAGATCCATTCCCAAAACTCAGTGTATATTCAGGAGTGGGCATACCTACCATTTCATTTGGCCAGCCCAAGTTGGGCACCGGAGCAGTGTTTGGGGTCCCTGCTGGCCAGGCATTGACCCTTTAGTTACTGGATCATGAGGAGCCTGGGACTCATTAGCACCCAATGTGTCATTATTTTTATACTTTGGCCATCAGTCCAGCTGTGCCAGTGAGCAATGGTTGAATATTGGTGCCATGTGGTGGCCCATTGATTTCGACCCTGGGTCCCCCACCTTGGGGCAGCCAGGTGTCTGGGGTGTCCCTGACACGTGTGTCACTTGTGTCATCATCACAAGTGCCTCCATCAATACTCAGCTGCATGTCATGTGCACTGGGTCAATAAGATAAAGGCCGAGTACCCTGAAAAAGAACCCAAAGCATTGTCTTGCCCTCACCTCAGTCCACCTACAAAAGTTAACAGGCTGTCTGGGAAAGCATTGCCTTGGACGACAGGCAGAAGGGCCCCGGCAGAGAGAAGGAGCGCCTTGGCCTGCGGTGACTTCTCAGCTCGCTGACCTCTCACGGTGTGGGGTGTCCTCTCGCTTGGTGTTGGGTTCCTGTGTCTCTGGTCCTTTGTGCTGGTGGTGCTGCTCCCTCTGCGAGGTCCCCGTGATGGATGGTTCTTTTCTGTGGTGACCTCTCTGCAGGCTCTGCTCTGTGTGTGTCTCTCTCTCTGTGTCCTGCCAGTGGTTTTACCCTATGGTAGGTTACGTCATGCTGTTCTACCACAGGGTAGAACCACGGACAGGATACCGGGGCACCCTCTGCGTCGACGGACTCCTCGTCTGCCTAGCCACAAACAGCCCGCGCCAGGGACTGACCCCTTGGGACATCCCCCTGCTAGGTTAGCTCAAGCCTGAAAGGATCCTGAATTCTGGCTTGAGGCTTGCTCCTGGGCACAAACGGACATTGGGGCATGGGCGCTGGTTCAGACGAGTGCATGGGGATATGGGAGAGGGCATGGGGCTGGGTCCTGGGGCGAGGGAGGACGACGTAAAGGGAAGTGAGGTGCCTGCAGGATCGCTAGTGGGACTGAGGTTATTATCTGGAGGCAGTTTTCATGCCAGGAGCTGGGAATATATTACTGTGTGTTCATGTTATACTGCCTACTCAGAAGCAGGGTGGTTGCTGTTCATACAGTAGCTTTGTAGGAAAATTGTAATAAATGTGCAAGTCTGTGATGCTTCATCATCGTGCCCTTGTGCAGTGCATAGCCTACACAACTGTGCATGGCGGCCCAGGGTGCAAGGATCCCCTCTGCTGTGAGATACTCTGGATACTGTGATGTCCCACCTGGGAGCCAATGGGTATGCACACAGGTTTCCCTGAGTATCATCCTCAAGGACAGTTGCCCTGGTCTGCCCTACGTCTGAGCCCAACCTGCTCAAGGACCAGCTGTCCATATAGGCTAGCCCGGGCACCGGTCACAGCGGGGTCAGTTCCCCTTGACACGTGTCTCCAGACTACCTGAGATGCAATGGCAAAGGGTCACGACTCCTGTACAAGTGAGGGGTCTCTCATTCTCATTTCCACTCTCTTCCTGCAGAGAGTGGTTTTTCCTTCTGTCCCACGAGGTGCTGAACCCCATGTACTGTTTGTTCGAATATGCTGGGAAGAACAACTACTGCCTGCAGATCAACCCCGCCTCCTCCATCAACCCCGACCACCTCACCTACTTCCGCTTTATCGGCAGATTCATCGCCATGGTAAGGGTGGCCACGGGGCCCTTCCTCCTCTCTCTCCTCATCTTCTTCTGGCAAAGTGTGCTGGGGTGCCGGGGGAGCCACTCTGCCCCTGAGACATTCAGAAGGGTAGTGTCCAAAGAGGCAGCCCTGGTACCACCAGCAGTCCCCATGAACCACGCACCCTCTCTGGGCCCCAGCACTGATCCTCACAGAGCTCCTAATCTAAAATGCAAAAAGGTAGAGATAGTTCTAGAGAAACCAGCACTTTCTTGGGCCTTCCCCGGGGGTATTGAAGGGTGTCCTGTGCTGATCTGTATAATCCTCATCAAGTGGAGGCTCCAGGTCCCTGGGCCACAGACTTCACTTTGTGTTAAATGTGTGCCCTGTGGAGGGTGCTGGGATGACCGGCTGCATGGAACAGTAACCATCCACCAGCTGCCTGTCTCTGGAAGGGGCCCCAGTCTGTCACTAGCTGCAGGCAGGAGTAGATGGCTGGGACACTAACGCCTTCTGGAAGGGGATTTGGAATCAATGCTACTTGGGCCAGGATGCTAGTAGACAGGTTGGTACAAGCAGGAGGTGTACAAGCAACCGTCACAGGGTGATGGAGAGTGGGGCAGTGGCGTCACAGCATCTGAATTGACCTAGAAATAGGGGTGCAGTAGGAGTACGGAAGGGGGTCCTGTCATATGCATCACGTCTGTCCCTCCCTCCCTCCCTTCCTTCCTCCCTTCCTTCCTTCCTTCCTTCCTTCCTTCCTTCCTTCCTTCCTTCCTTCCTTCCTGGGATTTGAACCATGTGGTCGGTCATATGGGATACAGCTGCCTTAAACACCAGGACATGGAACCAGCCTACAGGCCCCATATTGAGTGTCGTGTGAGACCCAGGATTGAGGAGCCCATGGGAGTCATGGTCCTGCTGCCACATAGGGTGGCCAAGATATTTCAGCACTACTTTCCTAAGTACCCATTCCCATTCTCCTCTCAGGACCCGTGGGCCCCAAGAGTCCGTAACTAAATCTGGCCCTTCCCTTTGTCTGGAAGCTCTTGGCCCAGGTGCTGGGCTCCAAAGCGGCCACGTTCTTCCCAGGTCTAGAGACCCGCCTGGCCTTGCAGCCAACAGGCCAGATCAGACCAGCAGAGCCTAGACTATTACTCACTGCTGGCTGCCAGCTCTCGCCGTCGGTGGCGTCTGCATTATTCTTGGCCGCCTCAGCCCCTCAGTTCTGAGCACCAGTGAGTCAGGGCTACCACTGGGGCTGTTTTGAACAAGTCTTTTCTGGGAGCAGGGGGTAGACCTCTGTTGTCTTGGGAGCCAGCCCAAGCAGGTATGCAAGCAGACAGTGGGCTTGGGGTTTCCTGAGTATGCTGGCTCATCTGTAGTCTGGAGTGTGGGATGAGTCTGTCCCAAGGTCCAAGTAGGACAAAGAGTGCTGTAGACCTGCCCTCGGGGGGCCTGGGGCAGCCGGTGGGCCAGGCTCTATCAGGCAGTGAAGGCAGGGAGTAACAGCAGGGTTGGACACACAGCATTAGGGCCTGCCTTGGGTGGTTTCAGAGCCAAGCCTCCTTTTTCTTTTTTAAGTTATTTTATTTGTGGTAGAGTGTGTGCATGCATGTGAGGAGGGAGGGCACCCTCCATGGAATCTCATCACGCTGTGATCCTCTTCTCCCGGCCCTCCAGCTTGTCTGGATCTTGGTCACCTGCGTGTGTCCAGCATGTTCCAAGTTGACTGAGGATCTGAATCCGTGGTAGGCCATGTGGCTTCCAGCACTGCAGTTCAACTTGCTGCTGCCTGCACCACTGAGGCTGAGCCACCAAACCTCTTTGCTGTGTCTCTTCCTTCCTTCCTCAGGCTCTGTATCATGGAAAGTTCATTGACACAGGCTTCACCCTCCCTTTCTACAAGCGGATGCTCAACAAGAGACCAACCCTGAAAGACCTGGAGTCCATTGATCCTGAGTTCTACAACTCAATTGTGTGGATCAAGTGAGTTCTCTCCCTGGCCCTGCACCGAGGCAGGTCTGGTTGGGGAGCAGGTGCCGAGGGCCTTTGCTTGGTCTGCCAGAATGGCCTCCGAGCTCTCATCCAGCTTTTAGAAGTGCTGTGGAGATGAGAAGCTTCAGGTTCCCCGAAGGACAGTTCTGGAATTCTCACCTCGGGAGATGTCCTGTGCCACCATTGAGGATCCTAGCCACCTGCATGTCCTTGGTGTCCTATGGGCTTAAAAGCAAGTGATGTAGCAGGATCAAGGGAAAACCCCACTAAGGCGGACTTCCCTCTTGCTCTCCTGTGCCCCAGAGAGAACAACCTCGAGGAATGTGGCCTCGAGCTGTACTTCATCCAGGACATGGAGATACTCGGCAAGGTGACAACCCATGAGCTGAAGGAAGGTGGCGAGAGCATCCGAGTCACGGAGGAGAACAAGGAGGAGTACATCATGTAAGTTGGTACAGGGTGCTCAGCTCCGGGGCAGGAGGTTGAGGGAAGAGCCCAGACCCAGTGGATCCCAGAAGAATTTCCTGCTTGTTTCTGGGGCACCCTCTTCATCTAGGCTCCCACCCATAGCTGATAGGTCACACAGATCTCAAGAACTTCCCATTTACATGTGCCTCGGGTGGTGGTGATGACCAGCGATGGTGCGTTTGGAGGAGCCCGAGGCCCTGTGTCACTAGCTCCTAGGTCCTGGGCTTTGTACATCGGAGTCTTCAAGACCACAGGGCTGAACTTCTTCAAAAGGAGTAGACGTCTCCTCCCCTGTCCTGACTGGAAGGATCTGTGCGTTACATGCTTAAGTCCGCTCTCTCACGTGTGCTGCCTTTTTTTCGGGCCTCTTGGTCTAGTTTTCTACTCCCCACACACGTCCACATGTCTGAGGTTCAGCTGCAGTGGTGGGAGGGGTGAGAGGTGGTTATGTCAGGCAGTGGTGACAGTTACTGTGAGGTTTTGGAGGCTGTGGTCTGGGCCTTCAGCTACTGGGTATAGGTGTGCCAGGACTTGACCATCAGCAGATCCGTGGCTGCTGCGTAATTATGGCCATGTGGCAGGCCATGAGTGCCCCTGTCCAGTGGGTCGTGGGCCCAACCAACAGCTGGCCTTTGGTTTAGGTTGCTGACGGACTGGCGTTTCACCCGAGGCGTGGAAGAGCAGACCAAAGCCTTCCTGGACGGCTTCAATGAAGTGGCCCCCCTGGAGTGGTTGCGCTACTTTGATGAGAAAGAACTGGAGGTGAGTGCTAAAGGCTGTGGGCACCCCAAAACCTGCTCTTCGGGTGACATACTCTGTGGCCACTCACTGTGTACCACAGAAGTGCCATGATGGAACCCCACACTGCTGTAGGACAAATTTTGATTTGGGGCCTCAGCACCCACCCCTCCCTGAACACTTGTTCTGCAAGTAGGGGTTAGTGTCATGCATATTAACACTGCCAGCAAAAGTAGGTAGTTGGGGGCCAGCAGGTATCATGGTGGTTAAGGTTCTGGATCCTACCAAGCTGACTCTCTGGTTCGAGCTCTAGACCCAGCAGCTTGAAAATAACGCTGGGCATGTTTGCATGCAAAATCCCAAGAGCAGAATAGAGAAGAAGGGATTGTGGTTTGGCCATCCCCTCCAGGAGGTGATTTCTTACTTTCCCTCTCCCTTTTTCTCTCAGGTGAGTGCATACACCCTACAGCAAAAATCTAAAAAAAAAGAGCAAGAGGTGACACAGAATGGAAAATAAAAAACCTCTAACGTTTTAAGTACATACAATGTATGACTTAGCACATATGCTGAGCCAAGCAGGTGTTTTGTTTTTTGTATTTGAGAGGTTTTTGTGATAGGATGTGTACATTGGCCGGAAAGAGAGAGAAACAGAAAGAGACAAATCACTCTCCGGGGGAGATGGCCACACCACAATCCCTTCTCCTCTGTTCTCTAGGGACCTCGGTCACACACACACATGCACCCTGCGTGAGTTTAAGCCACCAGGTCTGGAACTCGAACTGCGGTCAACTACGTGGGAGTCCAGCTACATAACCATTACACCATCTGCTGGTGCCCAAGTAGGTGCTTTTACATGAGTTAACCATATACATATTATATTGGGTCGTTGGGAAAGTCACGACACATTTTTACATAGAAAAAAAATGTCATGACTTTCCTGAAGACCTAATACATAAGAAACTTTTAGGGAAAAAAAAATACTTAACGGACCCAAAAATGTAAAATTCTCTGTTGAAAATGATGTGCATCGCGTGGGAGTAGAGCACCCCCAAACAAAAAAATAAAAAAAAAAAAAAAAAAAAAAAAGCAGGTAGTTGGAAAGGTTTGGGACCACCTGACCTGCTAGTGAGTGGTGAGCTGGTGTGTAGTGGACCAAGCCTGCCGGGGCACTGCTGACCGCTTCTCTCTTGGTAGCTGATGCTGTGTGGCATGCAGGAGATTGACATGAACGACTGGCAGAAGAACACCATCTACCGCCACTACACCAAGAACAGCAAGCAGATCCAGTGGTTCTGGCAGGTGTGTCCTGGGACCCATCCCTGCCTGACTTGGGGCTGCGGTCTTGGCAGGTCATTTTAGCAGTCAGCTAAAGGAAATGGCACCCATTAGTCCTTAAGCTCGAGCACCCTTGATCTTTGTCATTCTTCCTCACCTCTCCTAACTTGGAAAAGGAGATGATAAACCCAGTCTTGGGAAGAATGGATGCTGCTGTACCTGGATTGTGGCCAGTGCATGTGACAGGAGGTTGTTGGGGTCAGCTTGGGCCGGCTGGTATGTGGGGGGGTGGGAGGGAGAGTGATGTGGACCTGTAGGCAGGAGTCAAAGCTGCTGTGACTGTGTGGTTTCCTCCAGTCAGACAGGCGGGCAGGCAGGTGCGTGGCTCCGGAAAGCCAAGTGAGCTCATCATCCTGGACACAGTGGACCTATTCTTTATATATATATGGTTTTGTTGCTGTTGTTATGAAGTACAATGTACATAAAAAAGAGAAAACATAACTTTGATATCCCTAGTATTCGTGTGTGTGTGCATGTGTATACATACGTACGTGTGTGTATATATGTAACATGATTCACCATTTTAAGTGTTTTAAGGTATGCATTCCATGACTTGTAGAACATCTACACTGTTGTGCAACAACATTTCATTTCCCCGTAAAAGACTCCTTATACCATTAGGCAGTTGCTCCCATCCTTAGTATCTAAGTGCAGAACTGCCATAGGAAGAAAATACCTGACTCAGGGTGTCTCTGGGACCAAGAGATGTGCTATGGAATGTTCTACAGACACAGCCTCTTAGAGGGAAACCCTTTGGGGTTTCCCAGGGTTTTCCAAACCCTGTCCAACCTGACTTTATGTTCTGGGGCCTGCTGACCTGGAGAGTTCCTCATTAGGGCGCAGCACCTGAGCTGGGCAGGTGGCTTGGCTGTGCCTTGACTTGCTCAATTCCAGGTGGTGAAGGAGATGGACAATGAGAAAAGAATCCGGCTGCTGCAATTTGTTACGGGAACCTGCCGCCTGCCCGTTGGGGGATTTGCAGAGCTCATCGGTACGTTTTCCTTGGCCTTGTTAATGCACCGGCTGTGGGTGAGGATAGCTCAAAGGGAGGAAGGACCATGGGTCTTCTGAAAACCAGTTGTTGTGGGAGGCAGTGTGGACTGTGGCCTCCTTGTCCTAGGGCTGAACCTGTCTGTGGGTGGAGCCAGAGAGTCCTGCCTTGGGAAGGGATACTCTGTTGACATTTGGTGTTTGATCTTGGATGACAGGTAGCAATGGACCACAGAAGTTTTGCATTGATAAGGTTGGCAAGGAAACCTGGCTGCCCAGAAGCCACACCTGGTGAGTTATAGTGGGAGGTGGCAGAGCCCCACACCCTGGATGAGCTCAGTGGGTGCCACAGCTTCGGGGCCTCAACTCTGACAGCTCTTGCATAGCTCTGGGCCATTAGGCTGGCAAGATGGGTCCTCACATACCTCAGGCCTCTGGTCTACCAGGTATTACACATTGAAATTCTTCCATTACAGTAGACAAAGAGCTTCTGCCCTGTGTGCTACCTCTCGCTCCCTATTTCCCAGCTGTCCTGTTCCCTCCCTAAGGCCCCATGCTCCAGGGACCTAGGTGCAGCCCAGCATGCTCTCTGGGACTCTGTTTTGATTCTGGTAACTGGGGTGAGCTGCACTTGCAGTGGTGACAGTAGCACCTGAGCTCTGTGGCCTCCCTGCAGTAGAGGTCGCCCTCCCGTGCTAAGTGTTCTGTCCTTCCCTCCCGACAGCTTCAACCGCCTGGATCTCCCACCTTACAAGAGCTACGAACAGCTGAAAGAAAAGCTGCTGTATGCCATTGAGGAGACTGAGGGCTTCGGACAGGAGTAACTGAGGCTGCCCCTCCCATGCCCCCCAGCGCACACGTAGTTTGGAGTCCTCCCTGCCTGAGAGGCCATTGGCCATGCAGTCCTTGGGAGGTCCCCGTGGATGGTGACCCTGCATGGGACCACATTGACATCACACTGGTGGCAGAAGAACCTGACCCCTGAAGGCCCTACAGCCTTGCCCCTCTTCCCTGCTGGTGGCAGTCTGGAATAAAGCCCCCTTGTCACCTTTGGGCCAGTCACCCATTACAAAGTCTGGAGGGCTGACCCTCTTCTGGAAACACTATCCCCTCCCCCCTAGGACCAACCCTAGGTGTGTGTGAGTGTGCAAGGGAAGGCATCCTGACTTGTAAGCTGGGCCTCGCAGGCTAGCTAGATGAAGAGGAGATTGGCCACTTGGGTTGCTTTTCTGGCCTGAGACAGCCAACAGTCTTTGCCAGTAAGAGTTTCTGTCTCAGCTAGAACTTTTCCAACAATCTATTTGAAATGATGGGCAAGGGGGAGGACTCTGGATGAAGGCCATCTTCGCTCCCTCCCTAGCAGGCCCTGGCCATGGAGGCCAAGCAGTAAAGCTCAAGGCCAGCCATTGTGTTCTTCCTGAGCGAATAAAAGGTTGCCCAGCTGCCTGGATGACACAGCAGACCCCACAGACCTCTGTCCTGTTGCATCAACTTGAAGCATTTGTGCAGGGCTACTGCTTTTGGTATTATTTTTGGTATGCCACTGTCACTTTTCATCAAGGAGCTGGTGACCCAGGTGTTCTGGGACCTTGAAGGACTCAGCCCCGTTGGTCCAAGAGTTTCCTAATAACTGCTCCTCAGGAACCCACTTAGTAGTCCAAGAGTTCCAGTGGTGCAGTATCACAGTGTTCTAGGCCCCAAGCTTGACAGAGAGGAAGGAGCTGGTGTCCTGGACGCCGCTCCCAACCTTGCTGCCTGCCGCCTTTGCTAGATGTCTTCACCCGGGCAGCCAACAGAGATGGGGTTGATGCCCCTGCCCTCCCGCTGGCCCCTGGAGTTCCAGGTGGGCCCATTAGTCCCCTGTTGAGAATGAAGTGCATACCGCCAGCTGTATGTGTTCATTCTGTGTAGGTGTGAGGCTTTATCTGCACGCAGGAAACAATGCTATTGAAAACCAGCAGAAGGGCCCTAGCTGCTGCACATGGCCTGACTCAATTTCTGGTGCCCTGCTGCCCCTAGCTTCTGATGTGGAGATTCTGCCATCGATTGAAATCTGCAAGGTGAACAAGCTCTCTGGGATGCTGGAGTAGCGATTATTGGAAACTCCCCAGCCCATGCTTGCAGGGTTCTAGGGCAAGGTGCCAGTGCAGACTAGCTACCCAGGACCCCAGGCAGAATCTCAGCCTGGTCACGGGAGCCTTCTGAGGATGCACTTCTGTTCTCAGACCCTCGTCCTTCCCCGGCCCATGGAGGTACAGCCCGTTACTGCCTCTGTGTGTGTGTGTGTGCGTGCGTGCGTGCGTGCGTGCGTGTGTGTGTGCTGATCTGAGTGGCTCAGCACGCGTAGCTCTGCCTTCTCCCTCTCGCTGTCATGCCACCTTCCTGTGGCATGTCATGACATAGGCTGCTCCATCAGGTGGGTAGGAGTCAAGCTGCCATGTGAGGTTTGAAGCATCAGGCTCACGGGTGTTTGTGTATGTTCGTGTGCGCATACATACGTGTATATAACTGAAGTGACCGTGTGGAATGCTCTTTGGAGCACTGGGTTGGCCACCAGATTGTTTTGTAACGCTCGCCTCCCTGCCTCAGTATTGCCAGTTTCTTGTGCAATAAACAATCAGCAGCTGTGGGTGATGTTGGTGTGGATGTCTATGAAACCACTCCCCTCCAGGCCGAAGGCCACTGGACCCCGGGTCCAGTGGAGGTGGAAATTCCCTGACCTTGCTGACTTTGAAAAGTCTGCATCATTAGCCGAGGCAGCCCCAGCCTGGAGATGGGCGAGTGTCCCGAGATCACTGACTTCAGTCTCACTGCACTCTCTTGGCACCCTCAGTCTCCTGCCAGGCAGTTGCCCGGGGGACCAGAACAGCTGCAAGTCAGGCAGGCTTTGGAAGCCAGCTCACAGGGAGAGTGTCTGGGCAGTCACTAGTTCAAGAAATGCCAGCTGAAGTCTCACGAGTTCTGTGATGACAGATCCACTCCCTGTTCCTGAGTGTGTGGTCACATGAGGGCTTGCCACCCACTTTAATTTTTAAAATTTGCTAGAGGCCACATACACGAAACACAGAGGGGACGTGAGAAAGCACCTCTCCATGGGACATGGTCACACTGCAATCCCTTTTCCTCTATTTCTCCCTCCTTTTGGGATTTTGGGTATGCATGCATGTACACACTCCTGGTATGTTTTTAAAGCCTCTGGGTCTGACACTTGAACTGCACACTCGACCATGTGGGATTCAGCCACCATAACCACCACTCCCTTTACTGACAGGGGTTTGAGATGGGTGAGATCACTATGATGATGGGTCTGGATGCGTTCGACACTGAAATGACTACTGTGAACCAAGCCTTGTCCCATGCGTGCGTGCGTGCGTGCGTGCGTGTGTGTGTGCTGATCTGAGTGGCTCAGCACGCGTAGCTCTGCCTTCTCCCTCTCGCTGTCATGCCACCTTCCTGTGGCATGTCATGACATAGGCTGCTCCATCAGGTGGGTAGGAGTCAAGCTGCCATGTGAGGTTTGAAGCATCAGGCTCACGGGTGTTTGTGTATGTTCGTGTGCGCATACATACGTGTATATAACTGAAGTGACCGTGTGGAATGCTCTTTGGAGCACTGGGTTGGCCACCAGATTGTTTTGTAACGCTCGCCTCCCTGCCTCAGTATTGCCAGTTTCTTGTGCAATAAACAATCAGCAGCTGTGGGTGATGTTGGTGTGGATGTCTATGAAACCACTCCCCTCCAGGCCGAAGGCCACTGGACCCCGGGTCCAGTGGAGGTGGAAATTCCCTGACCTTGCTGACTTTGAAAAGTCTGCATCATTAGCCGAGGCAGCCCCAGCCTGGAGATGGGCGAGTGTCCCGAGATCACTGACTTCAGTCTCACTGCACTCTCTTGGCACCCTCAGTCTCCTGCCAGGCAGTTGCCCGGGGGACCAGAACAGCTGCAAGTCAGGCAGGCTTTGGAAGCCAGCTCACAGGGAGAGTGTCTGGGCAGTCACTAGTTCAAGAAATGCCAGCTGAAGTCTCACGAGTTCTGTGATGACAGATCCACTCCCTGTTCCTGAGTGTGTGGTCACATGAGGGCTTGCCACCCACTTTAATTTTTAAAATTTGCTAGAGGCCACATACACGAAACACAGAGGGGACGTGAGAAAGCACCTCTCCATGGGACATGGTCACACTGCAATCCCTTTTCCTCTATTTCTCCCTCCTTTTGGGATTTTGGGTATGCATGCATGTACACACTCCTGGTATGTTTTTAAAGCCTCTGGGTCTGACACTTGAACTGCACACTCGACCATGTGGGATTCAGCCACCATAACCACCACTCCCTTTACTGACAGGGGTTTGAGATGGGTGAGATCACTATGATGATGGGTCTGGATGCGTTCGACACTGAAATGACTACTGTGAACCAAGCCTTGTCCCATGTGCCTCTTCTCAGGGAAACAGAAGTGTGCAGAGCGCCGGCTCCCGGAGTTCAGCAGCTGAGTCAGTCCTCCCTGCTCCAAGCCTCTCTCTCACTTGACCAGGGCAGTGTTCTGCTTTGGCAGGAGACTGAAAAAAGTCCACATGTTACACGGATGTCTCACAGTAAATTCAAAAGGGCATGCCCAAGTAGAAACAGTTCTCCCCACAGATAACCTCTGTTCAGTTGGCTGTGGCCCTTTCAGACCGTGTGTGCACATGCACGTACAAATCACGTACACATTCTTCTTAATATGCCAAAAATGAGATACTCTACATGGTGAGCAACTCACGTTTTTCATTCAGTGAGCTGCTAGAGACACCTTTCCATGTCTGTCACATGGATCTACCTGATTCCTTCCTATGTGACAGTCCATGTTATGGTGGTTCTACAACATGGCATGAGCTTTCTACATGTATGGGGCCAGAAATATTTAGGATTTAGGGTTTTTGTTTTTTTTTTTCAGATTTGGTGATATAAGTAATGAAGTATCTTGGGAATGGGACCCAAATCTAAACATGAAATTCATTTATGTTTCACATACATATACCTTTATACATGTGTGTATACATATGTGTATTTTAAATATATATATAGTACGTGTGTGTGCGTATACATGTACCCTAGAGGGTACGTGCACTTGGTAGAGAGAACAGAGGAAGTGGGAGAGGGAGAAAGCACCCCTTAGTGGGGTGCGGTCACATCACAATTTCTTCTCCATTTCTTCAGCGCTTTGGGATTTGGGGAATATACACACACGTACATTCCAGTGTTTTTCAGGCTGTCAGGTTTGGGGTTCAAACCTTGGTCAGCCATGTGATATTCAACTCCCTTAACCACTAGCCCATGGGGCTGGCCCACTATATTTTTGCATTGCAGTTTTGTCTGCAACCTGGCATATGAGATCAGGAGTGGAATTTTCTACTTGTAATGTTGAGCATTTGGGATTTTAAGCTTTTCGAGTTAGGGATACAAGCACCCATCTCCGTACACCCCTCCGCCCTCGGGTATTGCGGCTGTGTGTGACATTTTGCTGGTGGTTGCAAGGCTGTGTGCTGGTGCTGCCCTGCCAGGAGGGCACAATCCTGGAAGCTGGATCATTGCTTATGCATCTTTATGTGAACATTTTGAAAAGGCTCAACATCCAGAGTTATGCAGAGTCTGCAGTCCAGGCCTCCCCTACTCTGTTGCTTGGCTGCTCTGATCCTCTTGCAGGCACTGATTGTTGGTACCTTTTTTTTTTTTTTTTTTTGGTCTTTCTAGATACACTTTAAAAAATCCCAATGGGTTCTACCAAATTGCCCTTCAAAAAAGTTCTTGTTTTGCTTTGCCAACCTCCTGAACACTGGCCAGTATCTCCTGCACATAGCTTGGAAGTAATTTTATACAGTATGTGTGTGTGTAGGTACACATATATTTGACTATCAAATGGACCTGTGAGTGCCCTTGTCTCTTGTAGCTCTCTTCCATCTTGTAACTCTGGGCTTCTGCTAAAGGAAAAAGACTTCAATATAGTTATACCAGAAAAAAGTAAAAGGTACTTCAAAAAGTATGTGGAAAAATAGAATTATAGTATGAGTTTATTTTGGTGCCAAAAAAATTGAAATCTGGGGCCAGCAGATGGTGTGATGCTTATGTCACTGGAGTCCCATGTAGTCAACTGCTATTTAAGTCTAGGACCCGGCAGCTTAAAACTCATGCAGGCGTGTGTATGTGCCTGTGCCCAAAATCCCAAGAGGAGAATGGAGGAGAAGGGATTGTGGCATGGCCATGTACCTGAGGAGGGGATAGTAATTTCTTGCTTTCTGCCTGTCTCTCTCTCTCTCCAGTGAGTGCACGCACCCTATAGCAAAAAACAAACAAACAAACAAAACAACAACAACAACAACAACAAAAATGAAGAAAAAAAATGAAATCCATGCTTGGTTGTCTCATGATATGTCTTTTCCATGAAATTTTTGAACCCCCCTCCCCACTTCTACACAAAGATTTTTTTTGTCTCTAATTGCCAGAGGGTGTGTGCACACACCAGAGGTGGAAGACCCTCAATGGGACGTGGTTACATTGTTGTCCTTTTTCCTCTAGTTAGTCATTCCATCAGGATTTGGGACATACACACACATCTGTCTGGTGTGTTTTCCAAGCTGCTATGGCTAGGATTTGAATTGCAGTTGGCCATGTGGGATCCAGCTTTTTTTTCTTTTTTTCTTTTTCTTCTTTTTAGAGAGGTATTTTTGGTATAGGGTGCATGTACTTGCTAGAGAGAGAGAGAAACAGAAAGTGAGAAACCACTGCCCCTGGGAGATGGCCATGTCAAAACCCCTTCTCGTCCATTTCTCCTCTTGAGATCTTGGTCATGCACGCATGTACGCACACGTTTCTGGTGCATTTTAAGCTGCCGGGTCCAGGACTCAAACCGCGGTCGATTATGTGGGAGTCCAGCCACGCCATCTGCTGGTCCCAGGATTCAGCTTTCTATGGATAGTTTTGACTGCTATACTTGAAGCTGGCCCTCAAAGTTCTGTGTTTTGTTTTTGCCATAGGGTGACTACGCTAGCCAGAGAGAGACAAAGACAGAGAGAAAGTGAGAAATCACCTACCAGGGGGAGTGGCCACACTGCAGTCCCGTCTCTTCCATTCTCCTCCTGGGATTTTGGGCACGCATGCACACACACTTGGTATGAGTTTCAAGCCACTGGATCCAGGACTTAAACTGCAGTCAGCCATGTTGGAGTCCTGCATCTTAACCACCGCTCCATCTGCTGGCCCCATATTTTTAATTTTTGAGTAACTGCCATACTGTTTGTTGCAGCGGCTGTACCATTTTGTATTCCCACCAGGGTTCTAATTTTTCCACATCCGCACCAAGTCTGGCTATTTCCTTTCTTTCTCTCTTTGATAGTTGGCTTCTAATGGGTATAAGATGATAATTCATTGCAGTTTGTTTTTAAACAGATTATTTATTTAATTTTATTTATGATTATTATTTTTAAATTTGACCACACAGAGACAGAGAAAGAGAGGGAAAGTGAGAAAGCAAACCACCAGGCCTGGGACTTGAACAGAAATTGACCCCGTGGGAGTCCAGTGCCTCAACCAACCATGTCATCTGCTGGCCCCTCACTGCAGTTTTGATTTGCATTTCTTTAGTGATTAGTGA